CCACATGCTTCCCACCCGCACCCCGAACCCCCTGCCCCAGGTCAGAAACCCCTCCCGCACCCTAACGCCCTCCTAGACCCCACACCTCCCCCACCTGCACCCCAACCCCCTGCCCCAGGTCAGAACCCCCTCCCCCACCCTAACTCCCTCCCAGACCCCACATGCTTCCCACCCGCACCCCGAACCCCCTGCCCCAGGTCAGAAACCCCTCCCGCACCCTAACGCCCTCCTAGACCCCACACCTCCCCCACCTGCACCCCAACCCCCTGCCCCAGGTCAGAAGCCGCTCCTGCACCCTAAATCCCTCCTTTAAGCATTAGGCTTACCATTAACCAGACCTTAACCATTTACCCTGGCAGCCAGCTGGTGGGCCAGAGGGACCTCATCCGTGGCTGGGCCGGCGGGACCCCAGGCCTGGCGGGTGGGCTGGAGCAGCCCCGGCCACTCGGGCAGGCTGGAGTGGGCCAGGCAGGCTGGAGCGGCCCAGCTCCAGCCGCGCCAGGACAGCAGGACGCCAGCCCCTGCTGCCCCACGCCGGCCCGCCTGACGGACCTCGGGTAACGGTTAACCAATATAATTTTAACAGTTTAACCGGTTCACTTTTTTAACCAATATTTACATCCCTAGCCCCTCCTGCATCCCAAACCCCTCAGCGCCGGCCCCACCCCAGAGCTCAGGGTGGGGTACCGGGCTAGATTGTCCCAAGGGGCTGCTCTGGGGCAGCAGTTAGGGGGCGGGTTACCAGGCTAGATGGGCCCTGTCACAACCCAGGGCTGGCTGCACCCCTGCCTCCTTCAGCAGCTCTATCCAAGTGTTCTCTTCCAGGCTTTAATTCTCCAGCCTGCACCTGCTGGGGCTGGAATCGCCCCATTTACCCCTGTCAGAGCAAGTGCCAGCCTGCAGCCTGTGGACCCCAGCCGTGATTGCTCAGCCAGGTCTGACGGGCTTCAGGACCCACCTGCTTTCCCCTGGGGAGCCAATACCAGGGCGTGGACCCGGGGACAGGAAGCAGCAGCCTTTTCCAAACAAGGGGTACGTCCAGACAATATATAATAGTCATAAAAATATTACAGGCAGCTTCCATGTGCTTCCAGGTTCATGGACAGATCTGGGGCAGCAGGGAGGGGGCTGGATACTGGGCTAGATGGGTCTGAGGCAGGGCGGCCCTCCCCCAGATGAAGTCTCGTTTCTCATTTCCCCTTTCCAGTGAGATTCCATTTTTAACTCGGCTTTTCCGGTAGCAGAGAAACGGCCCCATCTACATGCCTGAGTCAGTAACCACTGATTTCCTGGCACCAGGTCTGCCCTTTCTTCTGCTTCCACAACAGCAGCTGGGGTATCCTGAGAGAGAGAAAGGGTGGGGGAGGGGGCTATATGAGGAGAGAGAGAGAGAGAGAGAAAGAGAGAATGTGCATGGATGAAAGTCTGGCCAGTTGGCTAGACAGGTAGGTAGGTGGGTAGTTTGTTAAATAGATCGGTCGGTAAGTAGAAAAGGAGCCAAATAGGTAGATAGGCTGGTGGGTATGTAGGCGGGTGGATGAGTAGGTTGGTAGGTAGGTAGCTAGGCAGGTTGGTAGGGAGATACATAGGTAGGTGGATGGGTGAGTAGGATGTTAAGTAGGCAGCTAAGCGGGTTGGTAGGCGGGTAGGTCGGAAGATGGGTCGGTAGCTGAGTTACCGTCTGTAATAGAGCAGGGTGAGGTAATAGGCCAGGACGAATCCAGTCGCCATGAAGATGAGTTTGCAGCTGATTTCGATAAATGCCCGAGTGAGGCCACTCTTTCCTGTGGGAGCAGGAACACGCTGAGAACCTGGGATAGATCCCTGCAACCCCTGCCCCGAGCCAGCCAGCCCCTGTCATGGGGCCGGGTTGGAGCTGCACCCCCTAGAGGGGAAAGGCCCCATGCCCCATTCCCCACCCCCTGAGCCAGCCAGTCCCTGCCCTTGGGCCGGGTCAGAGCCGGCGTCCCTAGAGGGGAGGGACTCTCACCTGTTTCCGGTGGGCTCAGCAGTACAGAATACATTCTATGGGGGTTGGAGCTGCGGCAGAAGATCTGGGGCCCCCGTCCCCACTCAGCTCAGGGTGCTGATGGCCTCGTCCCCCTGGGCCCAGGAGCTGACTTGCAGGGCCCCCTGCGAGCTGTTCCCAGCCAGTGCCTCCCCGTCCACCTGCCATTGGAGCCGGGGCGGGGGGTGGGAGCGCAGGGAGCGGCTGCAGCTGGGCCCCTGGCGCTGGCAGGATGCATTCAGCCTGGTCTCCAGCCGGGGGCTCTCTGGGGAGCACAGGAAACATGGTGACAACAGTCAGAGAGAGAAACCCAGTGGCAGGGAGTCCCATAGGTTAACCTGCTAATATGAAGTGGCAGGGAGTCTCTGCTAGCTCTGGAACGGTGAATTGCAGAGTCCTCACTAGGGACTGAAATACCCACAGGAATAGCATTAAATTGGAGAGCACCCCCCGCACATTGGTCCCCATGCCGGTAAGATCTGGATCTCTGGCTCCTCTGTCAGCCCTGAGACATGGGGAGAGGGGAGAGAATCATCATGTGACACGAGGCCTTTCCTCCCTAATCTGATTGGCCCCAGGGCGGGGACTGGCTGGCTCAGCGGGCTGAGGAATTGGGCAGGGGGCCTTTCCCCTCTAGGGGTCACTGGCTTCATTCTAGCACCATTCTAACGGGGCGGGGATTGGCTGGCTCGGAAGGGGGGGGCGAGGAACAGGTCATGGGGCCTTTCCCCTCTTTGGGGCACTGGCTCTGACGATGGAGGGAAACTGAGTCACAGCAGCCCATTCTGTGAAAGATGGAGCCATCTGCTGCCAAGGATGCAGTTTCTCCATGGGCCTCTGCCCAGCTGGGAATGGGTCTCAGCCCCAGCCAAGTCATTGCATGTCGGGGGTCAGGCAGTGGCACTCAGGGGGTCTGACATCCCAGCTCCCTCGGGTCCCACCAGGCCGAGGCTGGAGGAAGGAGCTGCTGGGAATTTCCTCTCGTCAGCTGAAGCGTTGGGGTTAATGGGTTTTCACTGGGCTTTTCCTGTAGGGAGACAGAGCAACTCAGACAGGGATGGAAACGGACGCAAGCCACTCGCTGCAGAGATCAACCCCAAGCTATGCAAAGACCCAAGCTGTTTACACAGGGATCTCTCGTCCAGCGCTGAGATGCCGCCACCTCTGGGGTGCAGCAGCTGGCTAACAGCCACACACAATTTGGGACAGGGTGCGAAGGAGAATCCTGTAGCTGGGGGTGGGGTGGGGGTTGATGGATGCAGAACAGCGACACCCGGCTGGGGATATCACCAGGATACTGCGGTTCACGCGCCAGCTTGGGGGGGAACTTGCCCAGGGATCTCCGTGGGGAATAGCTAATGGTCTGTGCGGCGCAGCCAGGTGGGGACTTACCCATGGGAACTCACCCACAGGAACACCTGGTGATACGCCAGGAGGAATCCGGCTGCCATAATGCCCCCTTGCAGACCCACGTGATGATGGGTGGAAGCTGCAGCGGCTGGGCCGGGAGCCTGGCTGCAATGAGGGGGGAGCCGGTTAGCAGCTCGGCGCTTGGAAGCAAGTCCCCCTTGATTTGCTGTTTCCCATTTGTTTCTGGAGCTGGGTATTATACCGCAGATGCTAAAGCATTTCCTTTCCCCTGCTCTCACCACTTGACCCCACTCCCCTCCCAGAGCCAAGGCTAGAACCCAGGAATCCTCGCTCCCAGCCCCCCAGTCTAATCACTAGACCACACTCCCCTCCTGGAGCTGGGGGTCACTCACAGCCAACCTGGAGCCAGAGGAC